CTTTGTCCAGACCACCATGGCTCTGGGGCTGTCCTCCAAGAAAGCGTCTTCCCGCAATGTGGCCGTGGAGCGTAGGAACCTGATCACCGTGTGCAGGTGTGCGCTGCTGGCGGGTGGGGGTGGGGGTGGGGTGGTCGGGGAGAGGCGGCAGGGTGGGCTGCGGAAACCTGGATGAGTGTACGGGTAGGTGAATGCAGAGCAGCCGCGGAAAAAAGGGAGGCACAGGGTTGAGAGAAGTGCGTCCACTGTCCCTCTCAGGCCCAGACCGGGGAGGGAGTTTGGAGGTCTGGTCCCTACCCTTCTAGGCCAAGCCAGGCCTGTGCCCAGCCTGGGGCCTGGAGGGTGAGGGGTGCTTAATTGGCACTGCAGCTTCCTGTGAGATCCAGGAAGTGACATTGTGCATGAGGGGGAGGGGTGGGGATGGCTGGCTCCCTTGCTGGGGGCGGGTAGGCAGTGGGAAGAGAACGATGGTGTAGGGGGAAGACCACCCTCCAAGCATACCCCCTCTGCTACCCAGCAGCCTGGCCTCGCTGGGGTGGGGCTTTCCTGGGAGATTTTCTAATGCTCAATTCCTGAAGAAGGATGGTGCTATCTTCCTTCTCTGGGCAGCTGCAGCCTGTGGCAGTCAATTAGGCATGTGGGCAAAGACCCAAAATTCATCCAGTGAAGGGTCAGGGGCGCTGCCGAACTGAGGGGCTGGTCCCAGAAGCCTAGGTCTCCTGGGTTCAAGAAGAGGAGACTGGGAGGGCAGGCCCATTGGTCCCTGAGGGTAGGGCTGTTGCAGTGTTGGGAAGAGTCCCTCGCTTTCTTGGGGCCCAGGAAGTGAACCTTCCCGCTTCAGCCCTGCAAAGACTCACCCTCCCTGCCCTGCACTGAAGCCAAGAATGGCAAGTTGCTCAGTCTTTCGCCCTCAGTCCCCACCTGTACTCACGTATTCCTCTAGGATCTCCATGCCTACTGCCTTCTCCACCTGCAACCTCCCTGCCCCCCATGCCACCTGTGACAGCAGGGACTCACAGTGCATGGCTCAACTGTCTTCCCTTCCCAGGCCTACTTGCCTGCACATAGGCCTTGGCCCTCCTCTTTACCCCAGGAATCAGTGCCACATGGTGCCCTGGCTCCTGTGTCCCATAGCTCCTTCTAAGGTTCCTGGGCACACACCCGACCACACTGAATCTATCTTGCACTATATCTCTAGTGCCTAGCACAGTGCTGTGCACACCAGACCTCTGTAAAAATTCCTGAAATGTCACATCCCAAACCCTGCCAATGTGGTGTAAAACATTTCTGCCTTTGGAGCCAGATCATCCCAGGTTCAAGCTCTTACTTCATCAGTTATTAGCTGTGCAACCTCGGTGAAGTCTCCTAACCACTCCGAGCCTTGGGTGCCTCATCATCCCCATTATGGATGTAACGGCCATGCCAAGGAATAGGAATGACATAATCCATGTAGGAGCCTAGCCCAGTGCCTGGCACATGAAAATAGTCCGATCCTGATGACACTCTTCCTGTCCCTCTTCTTCCTCTTGACATCCTAGGTTCCTCTTCTTTCTCTTGCCTGCCAAGACAGCTGGACCTCTTGAGCATGTGGGAAAGGCAGGGACTCCCCTTGGCCTAGGCTGTAGAAGCAGATGTTCTGGTGGATTGGAAGTGGGCTTAGAGCTGCAGTGTGACAGATAAAGTTTTTGGGCATGAGAGTCATGACGAAGGTTCAGAAACCCCTCGGGCCCCTGTCACATCATCACTGTCACGTGATTTGCCTTCAACTCCTAAAACAATTCCCTTAGCAGGATGAGAGCTCCCTTGGGCCCTGGCCTCCCTGTCTCCATGGTAACTTGTAACAGCCACTGCACCTCCTAACAGGAAGCACACCACAGGGCTCCCAGGGGCAATGACCAGCTATGCAGCGCCCCAAGGACAGATGGCAGATGGCTGCCATGCTGAAATCAGCCCCAGGCCTCCACTGTGGTCTGACCCAGATGACCAGAAGAAATCATCAGGGGTGTGGGGGGCTGCATAATGAATCTCAGATAATACCTTAAACCTTCTTATAGATGGCCCAGCTCCTCACACCCCCTGCCTGTACACACCCTCCACTCAGTACAGCCTGGGATCTGAACCAAAATTAATGAGACAGGTACTGTTATTCCTTTTTGCACCTGGGACAATGGGCCTCTGAGGGATTAGATGACTTGTCCAAGGCCACAGGGATATCATGAGGAAACAGAACTTGAGTCTACCAGGCTGCCTTCCTATAAGTGCCACCCCAACACTGACCTGGCTCTAATCTCAGGCCAGTGGTCTTTAAGCCCAAAGGGAAGGAAAGGAGGCCTGTGGACTCAGCCCTGTCATTGGCCTGAGAGTCGGAGAGGCTGGAACCTGCAGAGTGGAGGACAGAGGGTGGAGGGGGCAGGGCTTCTCGGGTCTTCGGTAATCATGACAGCCACCAGGAGGCCATAAGATGTAGCAGAAAGAGCAAGGCCTTTGGAATCAGAAATATCTACTTGGCTCCTCACGAGCTGTGTGACTCTGAACAGATCAGTCAACCTCTTGGACCCTCAGTTACTTTATCTGTGAAATGGGGATGGTGGTGATATTAAGAGGAACTACCTTCCGGGGCTGCTGTAGGGATGGATGAGATAATATATGCAAGGTATAGTGCTTGGCATATTACAGGGCTTGATAAGCTTAGGGGAAAAAGGGCAGTTCCAAGCAGCCCCCATATCTGCTCTGCCACCCACAATAATGGGATGTTGGGAGCAGTGTCCTCAGCCCTGACCAATCCCATTGTACCCATGGTAGGTGAAGACTGCAGGAGAAGCAATCACTACCCCTCAGCCCCACTGGCTTTCTTTGGCTCCCTTCCTCTCTGAGAAATCGTGTCAGAGCCCCCAAGGCTCTTTCTGGAGATCTGTGCCCAATGCCCACTTCCACCCAGTGTATGTCAGACCCACACCCTGCACCTCCCCAGGCCCAGCTCTGCACCACCTAGTTCTGGGCAGCTGGTGTGTAGGTGGCCAAGCTGGGAAGGAAATGAGGAAGGGGGGCCTCCCTGTGCTAAGAGCCCACCTGGTCACCATGCAGGCCCATGCCCCATGTGCTTGGAGCCAACTCACTGGCTCTGGCACAGTTGAACCCCACCCCAGGAGGGACTGATGGTTATTCTAGCAAGAGCAGAAGACAGCTCAGGTCAGGGGCACAAACCGGCTTCTAACTCCTAGCTGGCCACAACCCACATACAGAGAGAATGTAACTCCGAAGGGTGAGGAGGGGCTCTGGGGCAGCCTGCTGGCTCTAGGTGCCTCGACTTTCTACCTACTGTTTCATTCTCCTCTCATACCTTGTTCCCAAAGCTTCCTTCCTCTGGCTGTCACCTCTCCTGTCACCTACTTTGTCAATCAGTCTCCCACCTGCCACCTTAGCACTCCCATCACAATACCTTTATGGGCACTATGTTCTCACCTGTCTCCCACCCTCTTTCCATCTGCCCTCCCATTACATCCATAACTCTTCATGACCTCTTCTCTGCCCTCTACTCCCTCTCTTTGCCTGACTCCCTTCCCCTACCACTATCACCCTGTCTTCTCACCTGACACCCCACTGCCCCTTCTCCTGACCCCCCACCCAGGTTCTCTGTGAAAACACTGTTGGAGAAGTACACAGCGGAGCCCATCGATGACTCATCCGAGGAGTTTGTGAATTTTGCAGCTATCTTAGAGCAGATCCTCAGTCACCGTTTCAAAGGTGGGCCCAGGTTCCTGTCGCCTGTGGGTCAGCTCTCCCAACTCCCAGACTTTAGTTTCCAGCCACCCTGCTCTGATCTACTCTGTGGCTTTCTGAGCCCATCACTGACCTGGGCTCCAATTCTGAGCCATTCACAGAAGCTCATGCACAGAGCTGGGAAGATGGAGGGGGGTCCTCTGGGCATGCGGTTATAAGCTGGCATGCCCTTTGTGTACATGCATGTGTGTGCACATACGTTTGGGGCAGGCGCTATGTGCATGTGTGGCTTATACTTATGCATGCGTGTGTACCGTTACATGGACCCTCTCCAAACTCCCTGGTCTTGCTGAACCCCCACCCTGCCCTGGCTCAGCCTGTGCCCCAGCAGGTCCAGTGAGCTGGTTCAGCTCAGATGGGCAGCGTGGCTTCTGGGACTATATCCGGCTGGCCTGCAGTAAAGTGCCGAACAACTGTGTGAGCAGCATTGAGAACATGGAGAACATCAGCACAGCCCGAGCCAAGGTGAGGGGCCTGCAACAGGCAGTGGAGAGAAGAACCGTAGGAGGTTCAGACCCAGTGGTTCGCACATGGGTCCTTTCGGGGCAGCAAGTAAAGGTGATCGTGCTTTCCAGGGTCGGGCATGGATCCGGGTAGCGCTGATGGAGAAGCGTATGTCGGAATACATCACCACAGCCCTGCGGGATACCCGGACCACAAGGTCAGACCCTCTCAGCTCGGGCCACAGGTCCCAGTGTACACGTTCACTGACTAAACACACTTGATCCTTAAGTTTCTGCAGCAGCCTTCAGTATCTGGACTACAATTCCCAACATGCACCACTAGTTTCCCTCTCCCAGACGGTCTGTACCTCAGCCCAGCCCGCAGTCCTGAAACACACATTTGGCAGCACCAACATCTCTGCCAAGTCAAATTGATTATCCCCCATCACTTCCCAGCACCAGTCTCATATACAACTCTACCTTTAGATACACCTTTGAATAAGTCTCTACTATGTATTGTTTTACTTGTTGGCCTTGTTCCATGACCTTCAACACACAGCCCTACCTGTTCCTCAAACAATGGCAGCAGTGTGTACTTGCTATCCGTGGGCTGCAGTCTCAGCATGCAGAGAGCTTCATTCTCTGCACTGTGACTTTGAAGAGAGATAGGATCTGGGGGCAGGGTCACAGGTAGGATGTGCCACTGGGGGATGGTGTGTTTGAAGCAGAGTACATTCCCCCATCCAGTGGCTACACCCAACCTGATGTGTTTACTGCATTCTATCTCCCCACATTTCAGAGGTCACATTAACATATTTTTGAGCACCTACTGTATACCAAGCATTAATGATTAGATTGTGTTTCCTGATTTTAAGGGTCAGGGTGACTGTATTTGGTGGGAAAGGGGTAGTTCAGAGGATGGAGAAGAATCTATCTATTCTCAGGGTGCACATGTTCTAATAGGTAGGAGACACAGGCACTACACCCAGTGGACTTCAGTCTGAGGGAGATACAAAGTCCACACCTGAGGGGCGAGCAGGGAGGAGATACTTCCTTCTTCTAGGAAAAGTTTGTAGGAAGCCAAGGACAGGTCCCGAGGGATGGAAGCTCCCTGGGAGGATGCTGCACCCTCAGTCCCACCTCCTCCCCACAGACGTTTCTATGACTCGGGAGCCATCATGCTGAGGGAGGAAGCCACTGTCCTCACCGGGATGCTGATCGGACTGAGTGCCATAGACTTCAGGTGGGGTCCAGGAGGCGGTGGCGGTGGTGGTGGTGGGGTGTTCCCTTGTGAATGTTCATACCCCCATTTCCTCATACCTCGCCCCCAACCCTATGGGTCCTATTCCCCCAGTTTCTGCCTAAAGGGTGAAGTGCTGGATGGGAAGACCCCTGTGGTCATAGATTACACGCCCTACCTAAAGTTCACCCAGAGGTGAGGAGCCCAATTGTTGCGGTGGGTGTGGGCAGACTCCTGCCCGGAGGAGTGGGGATAGCAGCAGAGGACTGGCTGGGCAGGCACCGCGACCCCTGCCCAAGGGGGCCGCGTGGGCCGCGTGGGCGAAGTTCACCCAGAGGTGAGGAGCCCAATTGTTGCGGTGGGTGTGGGCAGACTCGCCCGGAGGAGTGGGGATAGCAGCAGAGGACTGGCTGGGCAGGCACCGCGACCCCTGCCCAAGGGGGCCGCGTGGGCCGCGTGGGCGGGGCCGAACCTGCCGGTGCCACTGCTCCCTGCTCTAAGCTACGACTACCTGACGGACGAGGAGGAGCGACACAGTGCCGAGAGCAGCACGAGTGAGGACAACTCGCCGGAGCACCCGTACCTGCCGCTCGTCACCGACGAAGACAGCTGGTACAGCAAGTGGCACAAGATGGAACAGAAGTTTCGCATTGTCTACGCGCAGAAGGTGCGCGCTGCGCCGCGCGGGTGACCGGTAGCTGGGCGGGGGAGGGAGACCGGCCAGGCGGCCGCTGGGACCCTGCTCCCGCCGCCCGGGCTGAGCCGGCGCCCCGCAGGGTTACCTGGAAGAGCTGGTGCGTCTGCGCGAGTCACAGCTGAAGGACCTGGAGGCGGAGAACCGGCGGCTGCAGCTGCAGCTGGAGGAGGCGGCGGCGCAGAACCAGCGCGAGAAGCGGGAGCTGGAAGGCGTGATCCTGGAGCTGCAGGAGCAGTTGTGAGCGCCGCCGCCGCCCTGAGCCCTGACCCTGGCCACCCTGACCACATCACCCCAGGGAACCCCCATATTGCCTCCACTGACTCTAATTTCATCTTTCCTGATACCCGTATCCAACTCAACCAACTGCCAGCATCAAACTGATCCCATCACCTCTACCCTGAGGACTCCCCCCGCCGCCCCCTCTACCCCAGTGACCACCTAACATTATCCTCGACATAAAATTCTGGGACTTCCCCAAAGCCAGCTCCCCACTTCACCCTCAATTTCCCAACATCAGCTAGAACGGCCCTCCAACATTTCTCCAGGGACCCTGACATTACTCATAACGGACTCTAATGTTACTCAGTGACCTTCAGCGTGATTGAATTATTCCCTCTGATCTGCAACATAGGCCTACTGCCAGTCACCATCCATGGTTACCCCAGACCTCACTCTTACTGGTCCCTCTGACATTTCCCCCTAAACCTTTTCATCACCCTATGATCTCCCAGCATAATTCCTCAAGACCCACCCCCATTACCCTTCAGGATTCCCACACTATTCTCCACTGACTCCCCTGTCACCCTGACTCCCACAACACCCCATGACTCCCTCTAACCCCCAATATGACTGCATTAATCCATCACCCCTGACCCCCAGTACCCTCCACTGACTCCCAGGATCTGCCCCACTGATCCTCAACATTCTGTCCCCATTTCTGCTACCCAGGTTTCAATCCTATCCCCTCCCCCACCCTTTGTTTAGCCCCCTTCCCCACTTCTATTCCCTCTCCCAGCCAGCCTGACCCACCCCTCCCCATCCCAGGACAGGTCTGATCCCTGGTGACCACGCTCCCCTGGCTCAGGGTTCCAAGGAGCTCACCACACCCTTGGTCAACCAATGGCCATCACTAGGAACGCTCAATGGGGCTGAAGGTGTCAGCAACCCCAAGCTCTACAGGAGGTAAGCTCAGCCAGGCCTGGCTTGGGCCAGAGTGCTGGTCCCTCCTGAAGAAGAGAGGCATTGGGGTGGGGGTGGGGCCATGGCAGTAGGCCTCTGCCCACACACCAGCTCTCTCTCCTCTGCCACAGACACAGCTTCATGAGCACGGAACCACTGTCAGCTGAAGCCAGTCTGAGTTCAGACTCCCAGCGCCTGGGAGAGGGCAAACGGGATGAGGAGCCCTGGGGTCCCATCGGTGAGTCCCCCTAATCTAGCAACCAGCATCCCTCCAGGAAGGGCTACAGCTAGGCCCTGAGGCCTGTAGTCAGGCCCTGGCCAATTTCCTCATTCACTTGGTACTTTCAGAGAGCTTAGCACAGCAATTAAGAGCCTGGTTTGGGGTGTCTGGCAGACCTGACACAAATCCCAGCTGCCCCTCCTCTGGTTGTGGAGCTTGGTCAATTCACCTTGCTGAGCCCTTCTCATCTGTAAAATGGGGATGTTGATTAAAGTAATCACCAGTGTTAGCATATGGTGAGGGCTTAATGGCTTTTTGGTATAGTGACATCCTCAAGGGGGGGGGTCACAAATTCTTGGGGGAGTTCTTTGCCTAATTTGCTCTTATCTCATGCATTCTGTGAACCGCTTGCCTGACCCTTGTTTCCCCCTTTTCTTTGGCTGCCAGGAAGCTCAGAGCCAAATTAGTGGCTCCCTTCAAGCGAATGTCCAGGACTTCAACGCATGCATTTTGTGTTGCCCTCCCCGTGGCTTCACCTTGGTTTCCCACCCTAGTTTTCCTGGTGCCTGGACGTCCTGTCTTTCTTTCTAAAAACCACACTGTACTGGATGACTCTAGATCTTCTTTGAGACAAGGCAGGCTATGGACGTGTGACCCCACCACACTGTGTTTGTGATTGTCTGTGTGTCTGTCTCCCCACCAGACTGTGAGCTCCGTGAGGGCAGGGACCGTGTCTCATCCGTTCTCTGTATCCCCAGTGCTTGGAACGGAACAAATGCTCACCATGTGTTTAATAAATGGACAAAGAGAGAGGATGAACCTCAGGGGGAGACAGAGACATAAACTGACGATTACAATACAGTGTCCCCAGCACTGTGCGTAGCACAGGCAGGTGCTTATCAAGGTGTAATTGAAATGGCAAATGCTGCAGAAATGAGGCGTCTCCTGGGGGGGAGGGGTGACCTCAGGGTTCCCCCTTCACTGCTTGTGCCCACATACCCCACACATGCCTCACCCACCCTCTCTCCCCAGGGAAGGACCCCACGCCCTCCATGCTGGGCCTCTGCGGCTCCCTGGCCTCCATCCCCAGCTGCAAGTCCCTGGCGAGCTTCAAATCCAACGAGTGCCTGGTGAGCGACAGTCCTGAGGGCAGCCCGGCACTGAGCCCCAGCTGAGGAGCAGTGTGGGCTGTGCCAGCCCCACCTGCCAGGGACACAGATGCCTGCCACCTTTCCTCAGAGCCCCCCAATCCAGGCCATCCTTCTAGAGAACACTGCCCACCCAGCCAAGGGTCTCTTGGGAAAAACACTCTTTGCTCCTGGTTTTAACTTTGTGCCCAAGGAAGCTACGGCTGCCAAGGGAAGTGGGTTGGGTGAGGTGGGGACACCAAGGCCACAAGGAGCCCTTGGCAAAGCTTGCTCCATTCTGATGACCCTGACGCCCGGCTGGCTCCCTCCGGGGACTCTCCTTCGCTTATCTCCTCCGGCCTCTTCAGGAGCGTGGCCCAGGCTCAGCACCCTCACCTCTCCCTCTCCCGTTTGTTCCTCCTGTTCGTTCTTTGGAGTCACTTCTTCCTCAGGCCCCAGGGAAGGGGCTCTGGGAGATCAGGCCAATAAAAACCAGAGGACTAAGGGTAGCCTTGTCTGTGGGGGTTGGGACAGGGCTATCCTGAGGTTGGCAGAATGTGATGGAGCCAGTGCCAGGCCCATAACCAAGGCAATGCTGGACCACGTGGAGTAGAATCAGTGGGAGAAAGTGGGTTAGAGTAGTTCAGGGAGTGGGTGACTTTTGTATGAAGTGTCCTCAGTATGAGGTCTGCCTATGGCAGGACCAAGACACACTTAGTGCCCCTTCAACCTGATACTCTTTAAGAACTTGCTCAACCTCAGGCAGAGAAGACACTGAACATCCTGGGGAGGAAGGATGGAGGAAGGCAAGCCCTGGCAGGGCCGTTTTCCTTCTATCGTCTGAGCAATTCAGCTTTAGCCCAAAGTTACAGACCCTTCCACTAGGCCAAAGCCTAGCTGTGGAGCAACACTCCCCTCTGTCATCTCTTAAATGTGCCCTTGGGAAGATGTCTCACCACCCTCTACCTTGGCCCTAACACTACCAAGATATTGCTTATTGCCCCCCACCAACTCAAGGTGCTCGCTCAAATTGGGGCGGGGAGGGTGTCCTCTACATGGGCATCTCCTGGGCAGCCAAAGCTAACACCAAGGTCCCTTCCAGGCCTCTATATAAATCACTCACCAAGTCCCACTCCCTCCACCCCACCCCACTCCACAACCCCCTGCTCCTGTAGTCACAGGCACTGGAGAGAAGTTCATCATCTTTAGACTCAGGAATTAACAGAGGTGGGTTCAGACTATGCCAGGTCCAGGGTTTTGTGGCTCCTGGGGCAGGCCCAGCTACAACAAATACACAGGGACATAGGCAAGGGCAGGGAGAATTAATAGATTTGGTCTTGAACTTGGGGAATGGGGTAGAAAAGTGATGATCCTTGGGGTTTGGAAATGGGGACAATTGGGAAGAAATCTGTCTGAGGGGGGCCTGGGTGGGCCTAGAGGGGTGGCCCCCTACCCATGGGGCTCAGAGTTGAGAGGGAAGAAAAATGAGGCTCCTCCCCTGAGGACAAGGCACTTGGCTCAATCTCCTCCTGCCCCACCCCATTCATGGAAGAAATTGTGCTCTCATCTCCTTGATCCTTTCACAGGCCCAGAGACTGTTCCTGGTTGAGCCTCTGGAAGAAGCTTTTGCCAAACTCATAAGTGCTGATCATGATGGCACAGGAGGGGGCGGCCTTGATGATCCTTGGGAGGAAGCCTGCAGCGGGAGGGTGAAGATGAGGTCAGAGATCAGGTCCTGGGGTACCCAACCCGACCAAGGCCTGGAAACACACAACAAACACCCACCTGCAAAGAGTCCCCTGGTGCCAGACTCAGCCCGGATCCTCCGCAGCAGGAGCCAGGTAGAGTTGGCGTGCGGGGGCGACACTGCAGGTGCAAGGCATGGCTCAGTAAGACCCCACTCAGACTCTCACTTCCCTCCACCCCACGCCAGCCAGGCCCCTCACCTCTCACAGCCTCCACTGCTCCCAGGGCAACTTGGCGTTGAGTCTTCACCACGTCGAAGGGTAGAGTCAGGATAGCCGCCACCTAATGCAGTGGGAAGAAGACTCATCTTCACTCCCAGGACCCCCATCCCTTGCATCCAGCCAGGGTCTGCCAGCCTTATCACCATGGAGAGTGAGCTTGCTTCTCGAAAGGCAGCTGATGCACTGCTATGCAAAGCCTCCTCCAGAGCATCCCCCCAAGAACACTTCTGCCACCCTCACCCCCAGCCTAGTCAACTCACCGTCCCTGAGATGCCGCCAGCCACAAAGCTGATGCCCACTGATGTCTGGTCCTTTGGCCTGAGCCCACTCAGCCAGCTCTTCACCAGCTCATAGTTGAACCAGTACAGGGCTTGGGGGCATGGGATATACTCATTAGAGATGGGGAAGGCAGTGGGGTGGGCCCCAGACTTCCCATCTTCCACTGACCTATATCACAACTGCTCCCTCCAATCCCCCCCCGTTATAAAGGCCTGTCTGCTACACTAGTTTCTATAACAGGCTCTCTGCAAAATTATCTCATGAGAAAATCTGGGTGAATACCCTGCCTGCTGAGCCCATTTCAGATGAGATAGTCAGGGCTCACATAAGTTAAGTCACTTCAGGATCAGCAGTACCAAAGTTGAGACTTGGCTGTTGACCAAGAGGTACATCACCCAAGGGCTCCCTTACTCCGTCCTCTGTACCTCTGATGCCTACCTGAAAAGGGCACATCCCGAAGGGCAGTGGGGCCCCAGCCCAGCCACAGTGAGCGCCAGCCGCCCTGAACCATGGCAGCTCGGACACGGGCACCCAGTTCCCGGTAGGACACATGCTGAGCCTGCAGCTTTGTCCGTACTAGCTCCAGGGGGCTGATCACAGTCACGGTGCCCACTGCAGGAAACAGTGAGGAGGAGTCAGCTCACAGGTCGCAACAGTAGCATGCCCTAGGGTCTGGAACCCAGACATCCCCCTCCCCCTAAGCCAGCAAAGAGCAGAGCTGGGAGACAGGACTGGACTCAGGTTCAGGTGTAGTCAGAGGAAGATCAAGGGCTCAGGGCTGTACTCACAGCGGGCCAGTGCGCCAGCCACCATGGGTACGTAAAGGTCAGACGTCAAGGACTGACCACACAGAAAGGCCTTGAGTTGATCATAGGTGGTGAAGTAGATGGCAGTGGCTGGTACAGTCATCACCCTGAGGGTGTGAACGGAGGTTAGTTGGGACTTCCAAAGGCTCCCAAACCTCCCAGGCCTCCCCTGCTCTACCCAGCAAGCCAAAAGGGCAGCAAGGGATCTGCAGAGGACAGGGGAAGGCAACATGCAGGACTGGGATACTCACAAGGTGGCTGGGAGGCCACTCCACAGGGTTCTGGTGCCCTCGTGTCTCACAATCTTCACAAAAGCATCCTGGCCAAACAGACACCAGCCCAGGGGAAGAAGGATGAACATGAAACAAGGTCTGTGATGGGGCTGGCCCAGACTGGCCCTAGACTGACGCCATCACCTCTGCCCACAGTCCTGGGTCCTGCTGGGAGGCAACGGCCCCTCAAGACTCCACACATGCAATTCCCATTCAACCCCAGGTAGACTCCTATTTATCCTTCAAAACCTATGGAGGCACTACTTCCTCAGAGAAGCCTTTCCCAAACTGAGCTAGCTGCCTCTACATGCTTTGCATTATCTGTTCTTTCCTGGGTCTGCTGCTTGAGAAATGTGAATCCCTGGGGAATGCCTACAAACCCAGTTGAGGGCACAGCTGCTCCTCACCATGGTGCCAGTGAAGCGAGTGGGGTCCTGAAACCAGGTGGCACAGCGAGCACCATTAGGGCACAGGTACATGGGCTCCAGGACACCATTGCAGTACAGGAGGCACTTCCCTGTGGGTTGGAGAGAGGAGGGCACTGGGGAAAGGGAGGGGACATTAGGATGCCAGGGCCCTGGAACCTTGCAGGGTGAAGCCTCGTTCCTGGAGGGCTAGCAGAGGCTGAGGTCCCTAGGTGGACATTCTTGTGTGAGACAGAGGACTGGCTAATAGGACCTGGAAGCATGTACTAGCCTGTGGCTGGGGGGCCCACAGGTGCCCTGGGGCAACTGGGATACTCCCTCCCGAGCCTCACAGGCTTTCTGTGGCTTGGGGCACTCACATTTGGCGTAGGAGAGGCTCCAGAGTCTGGAGGGAGGCATCAGCTCTAAAATACAAGGCATCCCCTCAAGTCAGGAGAGCCTTTCACCTGCCCCAAAGACCCCATCTCTGGGAGATCTTCGTTTTGCCCAGTCACCAGCCCCTATTGGCTCCAGGGTCAGGCACTCACCGTGGGTCACTGAAGGGCGCTGAGACTGCAAGCGGACCTTTACCACGTCCAGGGGAGTCACTGGGGAAGGAGGAAAATCTTAAGTCTCCTTTCAGGAACCCTCCACACCCCTCCTCCAGGAACAAGTCACCACCAGTCTCTGGTCTGCCCCAATCTCCAGCTGCCCCTACCACACCTCCCCAAGTCTTACTGAAGAGGGAGGTGACCACAGCCCCAGCGCCTGAGGCCACCATTTGTTGGAGGGGGCTAATGCCCCCAGGGTCCTGGTCAGCCATCATGTAGCTTCACTTCTGAAAAAACAAAGCTTAAAGGAGCACCAGCTCACAAAACAGGAGGAGGGGGAGGGGGAGGCGGGGTGCGAAGGGGGATGAGGCAGGGCTCTTTCCGACTTTACCTGGATTCTTCGTCCCATTCACCCAGAGTATGATGAGTTCAAATGATCCTCACAGTAACCTTTTAAAGCAGTTATTATCAGTTCCACTTTGCCAAGACTTACCTCAAAGAGGTTAATGACCTGCCCAAGGTCACTCTGGGAGTAGTTAGGAACCTGGGACAGTCATCCATTGGTTAGTGGGCCATAATGTAGCCCACTGCCATTTCCTCGTCCACGCCTTACAGGCTTACAGTGCATCACCTTAGCACAGACTTTCGTTTTGGCCCCGCAGGCCCAAAGTTAATAACGCCTGAGCCGCCCCCCGAGCCCCCCACCCCCACTCCCACTCCAGCACCCAGCCCCGCGACGGGCACATGCGAGCACCAAGTCACCGAGCGCGGAGAGGTGAGACCGGGCAGTGAGGGGAATATGTAAATAAATCCGATGGCAGCGAAGGGTCCATCAGCTCTCTCAGGACTGCAGGCTGGGTACCCGACATTTCCCGGATCCCCTCGCGGGCTGGAAGGGCCAGGCCCTAGGCCTGGATTAGAACAATTTCTGTCTTTTCTCCCCAGAATACAGGCCGGGGACTCCGTCGAGAGGACAGAAAGTAGATATGGAGACAGGATCTCTCCTCGCCCCTCGGCGATGCTCTCTGCCCGAGCCCCACGCGCAGGGAAGCCCAGCAGGGCCAATTTGATCGACCCAACCGCCTGGAACTCCGCATCCTCAAGCTAGTCCTGCCTCAGGCTCCCCGGGACTCTCAGAGACCCAACTCCTGCCTCCGTCCCCAGCCGGACCCTCAGCCCCGCCCCCGCCCCGCTCACCTGGCTCTAAGCCGGTGCTCGCGCGGCGCGGCGCGCGGGCCCCGGCGGGCCCATAGCTGCTCCGCAGCGCTGCGGGAATCCGCGAGTGCAAGCGTAACACCACTGCGGACTAGAAAGACCGCTAAGCCCGCCCCGCTCCTGGACCACGCTGCGAGGCCCCGCCCCCCATGGGCCAACCAGCCTCACTCTCGGAGTGACGCCAGCCCCGCCCACTCGCGGCCTCCTCGGGAGCCCGCGGAGCCCTTGTTCCACGCCGCCGGCGCCCGGCTGGGCGGGCGCGCCAGGGTCGCGGATCTCTATGTCGCGCGTGACGTGGGGTCAGCACCGCATTAACAGCGTATTCTCACAGCCCCCACCCCCCAGACCCCTTGCGGAGCTCTGCACCGGGAGGCCCAGCACTAACTTTTCAGACCAGCGTGGGTAACACATTTTCCTGCTCTTCATCAGTGGCCTCGTCTGCGTGGCGGCGAGGGTGAATCAGTCTCAAGGCCGCGGGCGATTTGAGAGCGATGGAAAACATCCTCCGGGTTTCCTGCTGGGGTTTTACAACTTTGTTGCTACCGCAACAAACAAGAATTAGCGCCATTCCCCTTTAGCTCCAAAACCACTTAACTGCAGGGTGCCGTGGGGGTGTAGGCTATGTAACCCGGACCAGGCAGGCTGGACAGAGAGAATGGCTGGCCTGGGAGCCAGGAGATCCTGGTTCAACCTGGCTTAACTTGGGATCCGTCCCACCTCTGCGTGACCTTGGGCAAGTTATAAACCTGCTCTGGGCCTCGGAGTCCTTCGCAGATGAAAGGATGAATAGGGAAGAAAAGGCCTGAAACTTTTGTGTTACTCTCGCACCGTTGTTTCTTCAAAGTCTCAAAAATCTTACTAGGGTGTTCACCCCATTTTACAGAAGATGAAACTGGCTCGAACTTAAGATTCGAACTTAAGAGCCTGTAATTAGAACCGACCAGGTACTTCCCCCATGCACCAGGCTGCCTTCCTGTGTGGGTTTCAATCCTATGCTGACGTCTCTGAACTGGCTTCTCATGGACAACATTTCTCCCTCGGGCCTGCCCCGCACCCGAGACTCCGCCACCTGCCTCGCCTTTAAAACTTTTGTGCTGCCTTGATTGTCCTAACAGAAAAGCTAACGAGTGAGAGCCTACGCCTTTAAGAAGGGTACACCGCGAGTTTGGCGTCACCAGTTTCCCCGCCTTTCACGCCCAGAAATGGTTGCGTCCGGACCTGGAGCCACCCAGCCAGCAGACGCACGCGGGGTTAGCACGTGGATTTCAAGGGGCCAACTAGCATCTTTCCCTGAGAAAAGGCTTTGCGACTTCCCTCCGCTCGGCAGCCCGAATTTGGGGGCGGGGAGAGTGCAATCTGTGACCAGTGAAGTGGCCGCTAGTCTAAAGGGCTGGAGGGAAGGCCTCTTTTCCATTTCCTGCCCACATCAAAATGGACCTGAAACGACACAAAATCATTTTATAAACTGTTGGTTAAAGCGAAAACCCAGCCTCTATTAAGGTCCTTTACAGCCTCAGAGTTTACCCCAACTGTTTCACAGCCACCAGCTGAGAGATGACCCTCCCCATTTTACAGAGGAGGTAACTGAGGGCCTTGCCTGTAATGACTCTGGTGTGGAGCAGAACCCAGATTTCTCCCATGCAACCTCCCATTTTGCAAATGAGAAAATGAAGGTCAAATCTCACCAAGGTCACTCAAAGTAAAGAGCCAGAATTCAAACCCCCACGTGCCTGAGGCCAGGGGAGCTCCCAACCCACCCCATTCTCGACCCTCTGCTCCCTGCAGTGACTTGCTCACCTGTGAAAGTTTACTCAGGCCTCCGACTCCAAGAACTCCAAGAAATACAGCGTGTGGTAGAAACACCACTTCCTGCCTCAAAATCAGAACATGTGAGAGACAGGAACCTGGCTCCAATCTCCTTCTGCAGCAGCTGTGCAATATCTAGCAAGTATCTTAACACCTCTAAATCTTAGTTTCCCCACTTATAAAATGAGCTGATGGGGATAATAATATATTTGCCTTACAGGAATTATGTGAGGATTTAATGAGTTAATAGCGGTAAAGTGCTTAGACCCTTCTCTGGCATGTTGCAAGTATTCAGTGACTGTTGTTGTTATTGATTGCCTCCCAGGACCGGTGGCACAGAAAATTCTGGAAAGGGCCTTTCAGGCTACCAGGTTCTGTTTCTGTCCTTCCTCTGCCTTCAAACGCAGGAGCAGATCGTTATAACTCCTTACACCCCTTCCTTCTCAGAGCTAAGATCACACAGTTGCAAAATAGCTGAGCCAGGAATCAAACCCGGTGACCTCTGAGCCTGTTTCTCCCACAGTAGCCCAAGGGGCTTGCACTCGTTTCTGGTTTTCTTCTTGCAATAGGATGCCTTTGAGATTTGTCGCTACACTTCAGTTTCCTTATCTGAAAATAAGGATGATGCCATCTGTCCTGCCTAACTTACAGACTCTTAGCTAAAGTCACATCTGTAAAAGCTATGTGGAGAGTTGATAAGCAGTTCTATGGCCTCTCTCAGGTACTCGGTTTTGAGCAGATCACAGTCCCTGCCTTCCCCCACAGCTAAATGCTGTGAGGCTGAGAAATCTTGGGGACATCGTCGGTGTGACCAAAGTCCAGTGTGGTGGCAGCAGTTTGGGCTAGTGAGAGAGGTTAATTGTGGGCAATGAGGCACCACTGGAGCTGGTGGAGGTATTTCCTAAGGATGATCATGGCCACTGCAGGGTGGAGCAGGAGTGCTGAGATGCCCATGGAGCTCTGCAGCCCTGGCTAGACCTGCCTGCCCAGAGGAGCAAGCCCGGAGGCCTGAGGAAGAGGTGGCCACTGTCCTGGCTGACTCAGCCACAGTTTATATTGATTGCATCTATGGTCCTTCCAAAGGCAACATGTGGCCCCATGTGGCCATCACTGGCTTCCTGATCAAATGGAAAAACAGAAACTCCTTTCAACTGTAAAAGGGGAGAAAATGGTACACGCCCCAGGGGTTGTGGTGGGGACTGATGGACAAGTCCTTGCCTAGCACTGGGGGAGTGACATAAACAGAAGGTAGTTTATTGTGAGGCTGAATTCTTCCAGGACAAGCCCTGGGGCAGGGGCAGCGTCCTCTTCAGCTTGTGTCCTCAGGACCTAGGAAGACAATTATGGGCTGAAGTTTTTCCTGTGGACGTTACCAGCACCTCTGAGTTCAAGGCCAGCACTGTGCCCACCTAGAGCTGCCTTCCTGGAGGCAGGGCCAGGGGCTTCCAGACAGCTGATCCCAAGAGAAGAAATCTAAACTCTGCTCATAGCCAAATGCCAAGTCAAGTCTTTGATTGGACTCTGAGGATGGGGAGGTGTGTGGGAGTTATAGAGGATTTTATTGGGACAACTGGAGAAAATCGAATAAGGCCTGTACAGTAGACATTACTTTATCAATATTAAATTTCTTGAATGTGATAACCATACTGTGGTTTTGTAGGAAAATGTCCTTGTTCTTAGGAAATGCACACTGAAGTGTGTAGGGGTGAATGTCTGCAACTTAGTCTGAAAGGGCTCAGGAGAGAGAGAGAAAACTAATGTAGCAAAATGTGAACAACTGATGAATCAAGGTGAAGGGTATTGTGCCATTCTTGCACTTTTTCTGAAGTTTTTAAAGTTTTCAAAATAAAAAGTTGGTGGGGAAAGGGATTTCTCCCTCTGAAATACATATGTATTATTTATAGACCCAGAAGAACAACTAAGCTGTCTTTTTTGAAGGTTAAAAAAATAAATAAATGTAATTGCCAGGATCAGCCTACCTAGGAACAGGCCTTCCTACCTCCCTTTCCCCATGGCCTGAGAAGGAAGCTTGAGGAGTTACTGGACACCCAAGCTTTTACTAGGAGGGAACCCTGGGTGTGGTCTGAGGAGTGGCCCTCAGAGGGGCAAGGTCCTGGTTAAGACTTTCCAGAATTGACACGCCCCGCCGCCCCCACCCCACCCCCCGCCAATCACTCTAGCTCTATTCTCGTACTCTGGGAACAGGCTCTCTCTCCCCTGCTCTGTTGGGGGAGTGTGAATTAATCTACCTCCGCGGAAGGCAGGTTTTGGTCATAACTATCAAAATTCCAATTGCCCAAACCCCATGACCCAGCCAGGCTACTTCTAAGAATTTCTCCGCCCATCATCGGCTAAGCACACGTGCGAAATGACACCAACTCAGCCTTCGTCGTAGCCTTGTTTGTAACAGCAGAATGCAATGGAAGGGGAACTGCACGACAGTCCCTTCATATGACAAATACCGCGCAGCCTTGAAAGGGATGCAGGTCTCCAAATCGTGATGTAAAACAATCTCAAAGAGAGTTAAATTTAAAAAGCAAAGCGCTGGAAAAGTGTCGGTGTTCTCGACCGGAGTGCTACCGCCCCCTAGGGGACATTTTTGGAAATTGATAAGGTCGTTTACGGACCTTTGGCATTTGACAGAAGGCAGGACAGGGATACTAAATAGCCTATAAAGTTTAGTACAGTCTGACACAACAAGAAATTGTCCCTTCTTGTGCACTTCTCAAATTTCCCCTGTTACAGGCTTAATAAATCTGCTCATTACCCGACCTGGAAGCTAGCTCGATTTCATCTACATCTCTTTTGAATGGTTTTAAAATACATTGAATTTTCTAAGAATAAAACTACTATGCAATCCTAGGGAAGATTTAGCTTTGTCTCCATTAGAACATTACCAGTGGTCATGAGCAATTTTAGAAAATCTTGTCCCTGTGGCCACCTGGCCTGTGTGAGCTGAGTTGCTAACACGGCACTCCAGCGCGAGTCCGTATTTACAGCTCCGAGTTTTCAACTCCGTGACTTCTGTGCATTTGCAAGCTTCTGCTCTCTCATGGAGTTGAGCATGGGTTTCACATACAAAAATACGTATTATTTTATTCTAAATTACTTTCTTTTTATTTTCTTCTATATTACTTTATACAGCATATTATATATGTAATATAAGTATTATATACTTACTATATGAACTTTATACAGATTTCTAAAAACATTGTGCATAGGAAAATTATGTAGTGTCTCAATTTCATTTCTGAAAATTTATTGTATATTTATTTGGTAAAATGTATATTACCAAACGTAAGATTTATAATTTA